AGAGAGCTCTCCTGGTGACAAAATAAAACCACCTCCAACAAGGGGTGGTAGCTTTGTCGCCGGGAGCACGGCTCCTGCCAACATAGCACTGTCCACACCAGCACTTCTTGTTGTTAAAACTTTTGTATTCAGGAGGATGTTTTTTTCATGCCCCTGAGCAACCTTCAGTTTGGGTTCTCTGGCCCTGTTACAGTTCAAAAAGCAGAAGGGATGAAAAATCTTTACATCAACTGTTTTCATTTCCCTCTTCCAGCATTCAGGACGTACTTCCCCATTGGTAGATGGGGACAATTAACAAAGCCTTTGTTTTATAATGGCCCAGTTAAATGTTGATAGTCCTCCTGGATGGCTGAAGAGGGGCGGGTGTGTTGGGGGGTAGGGAAACATGGAGGGGTGATTCCTTTGCCTGGGATCAGAAGTTCAGAGCAAACATTTTCAGTTATAAAGCAACACTTACACATTTCTTATAGCCTGGAATACAGACATTACAAGTGAGATTAATGTATGCAGCAATTTACAAGCATTTCATAGAGTCTAAACACTAGCTACATTCTTATAAGACTAATACCTATTTTGAGCAAAACTAACATACAGGTGAACTGGTCTTGTCTCCACCTCTGAGTTTTTAGTTCTTAGCTAATGCCTTCAGTCTTGGCAAGTGCTGCACCTGGTCACACCTCCAGTATACATTAAATGTGGGCAAAACTATATTACAGCAACCATATGAATTAGTGAGACTTGCCAGTACCTGAGTGAGAGCTAGCTTGCAATTTATTCACAGTATCCCAGCTTTTTCTCCAAGAAGACAATTATGTGACAATGAGAAAATATTGCAGCTTACTGTGTTTGTTATAACAAGATACAGCAATAAGAGTAAGCCAACTTTAATTGGTTATTGCACATTTCATTATTGATACTATATGTGGTATAAATTATTCTAGAAAATCAGCAAGTAACCTGATTTTAAGTGTGTTATGAAAGATTTACATCACGGGATGCTCTTTTTTAAATTAAAGCAGCTAATGGGATATAGCCATATCCCCCATGATCACTGTCAAAGTACTATATTGTATTTACACTCAGTGTGGGACAGGAGATTTGAGAGGACTTACAGTGGTGGTGGGGGGGGAGCGATGTCTTTCATCTTAGAACACTGATTCAAATTCAACTCAGGTCAGTAGGTGGCAAGGCTTGTGTTTGCTTTTTTTTGCTCACATGATTTAGTTGTTTTTTAAATGAGAAATGTATGAACAGAAATGAAACAGGGAAGGTCCAAATAGGTCACCGAGATAATGTGCAAGCCTAGAAAATGATATGGCAAAGACATTGGTTGACATACTTTGCTGAAATGCTATCAAATTAAAATGTTCAGATCCAAAATCGTCAAGAAAAAGTCCTTATGTGGTATGAACAATAGTTTCAGATAAAAAGCTCTGTATACCTCATTCACAGAATATCCAGTTCTGAGGCTGGCAAAACTCCTCCTAAAAAATCAAATGGTTGAACTTTTGCCTGCCTAAGCACATAGCTCCAGCCTGACTCCTACTACATCTCCTGAAATCATAGTTGCTTTTCCACTTATTTTTGTGACACACTCAGACTAAGGTCTCATGCAGTTCCTGTGTTACATGCTTTTCAATTTGCAGCCAAGTACTATGTCAGATATATGATTTCTGGCTGCAAATTGAGATAGATGTTTTAGTCACAAAAGGTATCAAGTGAAACAGTGGAGTTTGATAACAATCAAACACTGCACTTTCTAGTATATCAGGCACTGCAGGAAGAAAGATAAGATACCAGGAATGTGGTTTAACTCAGCTGCTACTTTATTAAGAAAGACATGTGGGAACTATCTGACAATAACTTCTCTGGTGCAGGTCATTTTGCCTATTGTAATCCCTTCCATCTATTGGAGAGCTACCATCAGCCCGCTACCCCATTAACCTGATCATGTATGGGATCCATGAAGTCTTGTCCGACATCTTTAATTCATTCCATTTGAAGAGCAAATGCTTTCAGTTGATTTCACAGCTTTGAAACTTTGCTATTACATACATTCAGTGTTCAAATTAGCTGCTGTAACAGGAAAGGAAGTTTCAAAGCTGTTAAATCAAACTATGGGGATCTCACACCTTAGATGATGGGAATCCGAGATGGTATCTCCATACATGCTTTTTAAATCTTGATTTCCCAATTCCAAAAGTCAATTTGAACATTCAGTTTGCTCAAGGAAGTTTTTTAAACTGGAATAAAAGCATGAAAATTGATCTGCCTATCAATAAGAATGTGTAACTGAATTTTGTGACTATTCTGATGAAATATCCCACAGGAGATGTCTCCCACTGAAAACTATGATACTGTATCACATGATACATTATTGTAGCAAAACCCCAATGCCTACCACCCTCTGAGCAATGGCCAGACAAAAGCTTTATATAAAAGACAGAATGAAAGTGTGGATTTTAACTTGCTGGGATAGAGAAAAAAGCTGTCTGTCATACAACGAAACAGCAAACATCTTAATGCATAAAATGCAGTGCTATTTACCACATTGTTGAAGAGATGGCACTATATTGAACGTTAAAGCCACCCTCATCCCAAATTTTCCCTGAAAGAAGCCAGTCCCCCTCAAATTTTACATATTAGTGTATCCCAAGGTATAATTTTAGAGGATGTTTATAAAAGCAATTAGAAAAGGAGTATTAAAGTTATGGCGTTATTTAAACCATTTCTTTATCATTGGCATTTTGAAAAATTTCCCAACTTTTTTGGCTTGTCTGTATCTCCAGAATGTCTTTAAATTGTTGTTTCATTTTTCATCCTTGCTTAAATGAAACCCATTTACTGTGGGTTTGTTTGGGTGCGGGGAATAAAGATAGTAATAGTGTGTGCATAACTCATATGGAAGTAGACAGAGAAGGGGTTAATTATGAGCTCATTAATAGAGCAGATTAGAAGCAGGGATACATTTTGTGAGAATTGTGTCGATTGTTTTCTCCAGTTATTTTTCAGATTTTGAAATTTCAACCAGTTCTATTCATTAGGACTTCACGGAGACTACTCACATGCTTCAGGGCAAGCATATAGATCAGGGCCATAGAGATTGGATTTACTCTTGCCTGGCCCAGCAAGGAATCAGAGCCATGAGGCTCCTGAGCATGATGGTTAAAGAGGAGTTTAGGTTATGTCTGCACTGCAGAGCCTATGCTAGCATAGCTAGGCTGACATAGCAGATGCAGTGTACACTGACAGAAGGAGTTTTTCTGCCATTGCAGGAACACCATCTCCCCGAACGATGGTAGCTACAATAACAGAAACACTCGTTTGTTGGCATAGCTGCGTCTACTCTGGGGGTTTTGTCAGCACAGCTGTTTATCAGGGGTGTGATTTCACACCTCTAGCCAAGATAGCTATGCCAATATAACTTTCAAGTATAGACCAAGCCTTACATAGGACTATATTGCTTGCAAGAGACTTCGTAATTAAAGGACTATTTGTTTCCTTTCTCCCCCACCTCCCTTACTGGAAGAAAAAGCCATTTTAGTTGGCTGTTTTGCTTTTTTTTTTTTTTTTTTTTTTTTTTCTTTGTCCAGGTTTTTGAAATCCCTTTTTCCAACTTTGGGCCATATTGAAGAAATGCTTTGTATAGAAGTGTGGATGCCCTGGCGTGGCTGGACAGAGTATTTTAGCTGTTATTCCTTTATCTCTTCTCCCTTTTTCCTGTGACTCACAAGTACACTTGAGATACATACTCGTACAGCAGTACCTAAAGCAATGTTGAATAATTTTTTTTAATAAGAGGAGTTGAGTTTTTATAGAGAAAGAGTATGTTTTCTGGTAGAAGATGGAGAAGGAAGTTGAAAATTGTTGGTTATGCTCCACTGAAATAGAATTTCATCCTGGACCCTTTTTTTTAAATAGGTGGCCAGATTCTGCCACCCCGAGTCATGTTGAGTAATAGTTTACTCCGTGAGCAGTCCTGTTTAAGAAATGGAAACAAAACATTGTGCTGTGAAGGATGTGTGAAAACAAAGGAACTACTTGTGGAGTGAGATACTGCTCAGTATAAGCAAGATGGCTGAATCTTGCCCAGAGTTTTGTTTGGAAATATATGGTTAAATATGTTGACTGTGCAGAATATTTCAATGTCCCTGCTGTCAAATCTTCCCTACTGGGCAGTGTACTCTCACAGGTTTTGGATGTTTACATTTTAGCAAATTGTGCAGCCAGTTTATCTACAATGTCCTGTAGAAGATGTAGGGATGCAAATTGAGGTGTGGGGAGAAGGGGGAATCAGGGTAGCACTCCATGTCTGCTGAAAGATTTAATGTGTAATTTTAGAAGTATTAGATCAAACCCAAGAAAAAATGGCTAATTAATGCTATCAGTATTAGTGCATTTAGAACACAAAACACTCTGCTTTTACTGCACTTCTCTAATGGATGAGAATACAGTCCTATGAAAATAGTGGTTAAGTATGTTGTTGATTGAGGAGCTTCCAAATTTTCCACAAAAGGAAACAGACTCCTCCTTGAATTTTGAGTTGTCATTTCTGGGGTATTAAATATACCTCTACCCCGATATAATGCTGTCCTCGGGAGCCAAAAAATCTTACTGCATTATAGGTGAAACTGCATTATATCGAACTTGCTTTGATCCGCCGAAGTGCGCAGCCCCGCCCCCCCCCCCGGAGTGCTGCTTTACCGCGTTATATCCGAATTCATGTTATATCGGGGCGCGTTATATCGGGGTAGAGGTGTACAACAGAAATAACACATACTTTCTAATCCTGTATGTCAACAAATGGGAACTGACTGCATTCTCTCTCAGCACATCACCTATGTATTTTTAAGTATCAGGGGGTAGCCGTGTTAGTCTGTATCTACAAAAACAACCAGGAGTCTGATGGCACCTTAAAGACTAACAGATTTATTTGGGCATAAGCTTTCGTGGGTAAAAACCTCACTTCTTCGGATGCCCAAATAAATCTGTTAGTCTTTAAGGTGCCACCAGACTCCTGGTTGTTTATGTATTTTTAAAGTTCCTTGAAGATCTTCTTTCATGTATTGAGGAAATCTTAACACAGACACATCATGTTTTGCTAAGATTTTATACTTGTTTTCACTTTTCTTAGGTGGTTATAGTCATTGTCCCTAAAAAGGCTTTCTTTAACAGCCTGAAATGATCATTCTATAGTTTAGTCCCAAGTATGCCAGCAATTTTAATAAGAATAAAGAATTTGTTATTTTAAGCAAAAAGTGAAACAAAACCACCTGAGAAACACTCACTTCCACTCCCTGCATGTTTCATTATAATCTAGATAAAGCAACTTCCTCTTCTTCTAGCATAATGAGGTTATCACATCACATACCATTATCTTTGCCCTGCATTGTCACTTTGTTGCCAGTAGCCTCACTTCAGCTGTGAATGCAGTGTCTGGGATATCTGTTCAGACTCTAGACACTTGCAACAACCAGGGATCCAGGGCACGTCTTCACTACCTGCCGGATCGGCGGGTAGCAATCGATCTATTGGGGATCGACTTATCGCGTCTAGTGAAGACGTGATAAAATCGATCCCTGATCGCTCTGCCGTCGACTCCGGAAATCCACTGCGGCAAGAAGCGGAAGTGGAGTCGACGGCGGAGCGGCAGCAGTCGACTCGCCACCGTCCTCACAGCCAGGTAAGTCGACCTAAAATATGCAACTTCAGCTACGCTATTCACGTAGCTGAAGTTGTGTATCTTAGGTCGACCCCACCCCGTAGTGTAGACCTAGCCCCAGAGGCTTGGATTCCCTTCACAGCAGCCTGGTGGGCTGCTTATAGAAGAGCCTGACTGAATCACTGACACAAGGTACAAATTAAAACCAAAAAATAGACAAGGAGTAACATTTTTAGAAGCTCCTAACTTCCATTTCAAAAGTAGGTCTAAATCTCACTGTGAGTCATTTTGGTCTTTTATGTCTTATTATGGACAAAATTCCTCCCTCCAGCATTAAAGGTGTTCTGCTGCTTCATCCACTACAGCACTCTAGAGATTCAGAGGGCCATAATTTGTCCCTTTCTGTATTTAGTAGTTGATGCTGATTACTACATGGGCCATAATCAGAAAATATATACTGTATCCCACTTGCATTATATTCCACAGATTCTGAGAAAATTCCAATTAAAAAACTGTTTTATTGATTGCTTAATGCAAATAAGCATTGTTGGATTTAGCCCTTTAGTCCTATGGGTGGTGTCGGTACCATTTTATACAATAATTGCAATATTCATTTTTTGTGTTGCAGTGTCTAGACTGTGTGATGGCAAAATACTTTTGTTTTTAAAATATTAAAATGATTTTAATCATTTCAGGCTTGGTTGCCTAATTTTGATGAATAAAAAACAGGTTAATTGAGCTTTTTGAATCCATCCAAGTACCATTCTGAATAATGGACTGTAAAAGCATTTTGGATTTTTGTCTGCAAATATAATTTTATGTGTTTCCCTGCTTAATGAATCAGACAAGACCAAATTTATATATTGAGAGTGGTATACGTATGTGTTACTGAGCTGGTATAAGTCCTGAATGAATCTGATCTTTAGCAGCTATTGAAAAGCAGTAGGTGCTTGATCCTGTACCCGTCGGCAAAATTCCTATTAACTTCAGTGAGATTAGAATCAGGCCTTACGTGAATCTGTGACTGTATTTGTTCTTTACAAGACCCTTATTCTTCAGCTAGGTACAGTCACATTAATTGATTCTATCAATTGACATGCCAGAATCTAGAATATTGTTGCTAATTGCTGAGGTTGCAGTTGTTAACTACTCCAGATGTGTCCTGATTAGTATATAGATATTGGGAACACATCTGTGTTTCAGCAATTATAGATGAGAATTGTTTTCTGAAGAAAGGTGTATATATTTAAATGCCAGGAGAAATCTAAAATGATGGCATTTTTTCTGAAAGCAAGACCAGTACTTCTTTAACCAAGGATGAATCTAAAAGACAATGAATTGGCAAATTCTAATCAGGCCCTCCATCAGTTAATGTAAACATAGGGGATTGTGACCATCCCTTTCACTAAAGCTGGCCGCTCAGTTAAGCTCCTCTCTGGCTGCATTGGTCTGGGCCCATCCTCCCTTCCTGCCTGCTGGCCCAGCTCCACATTCCCATCTTGCCCAGTTGGTCAGCTCAATGGCTCCCTATCCGCTAATGATAAGCGACTCTCAAGTTCTTCCCACCCCACTCACCCACTTAGAGGTAGGAGAAAATCACCCCTCTCCTCACTCTGAGGGCAAAATCAGTCCCCCAACTCAGATTCAATATATATCACACAGCTTCTTCTCTGGGAGCAAAATTGACTCTGCCCCCTCAGTTGAGGCTGGAAATTGCCCAGCTATTGGAGATTAGGGATGCAGAAGAGACTTGCGGTTGGGGAAGAGAAAATTGAAAGGGGAAGAGAAACTCTCTTAAATTGAAGGAGGATGGAAATCCTACTCCCGTCTGCTGGCTTGAGATGTGGTGGAGGTGGGGGAGGAAGAGAGTGAGAGACAGAGCGCAGCGGAGTCAGTGGAGTAGTAACTGGGAAACAGACTGAGGATAGGAAAGGAAACAGACTATTAGAGAACACAAAGGAAGTACTGTAATGAAAGGCTAAGAGGGAAAGAACAGAGTGGGGTAGGAGAATACAGTGAGGGAATTGAGAGAAATTGTTAAATATGCCATACCATCCATTGCCTCCTATCATCACCCCCTTTATTTGCTTACTACATCCCAACTCTTAAATCCACCTCTGTCTTTAAATCAACACTTCAAACAGCTTTCCACAAGTAATTAGTGGTGCATTCCACAATTAATATCCTGTGAAGTATTCAAGTCCAGGACTGGGTGCTGTTGATCCTGCTTCCTTTTGGCTCAATTGTGCAACTCAAGATGGTGAAAAGTTACAAGAGAGTAGTCCCATTGACTTCAATGGGACCAGTCTGTGAGTAAATGCTCTCCAATGTAAGGGTTGCACAATCAGGCTCTTTACTTATATGTAACTCCCGCTCAAGTCAATGAGACTTTTGCGTGTGGAAGAAATGTAGGATCAAGCTTGGTGTAGGGGAGAAATTCTGTCCTCAGATGCCATGTCCAGTTCCCATTTAAATTCAGTGGGAGCCAAATGTGTGCATCCAAGGGAAGAATTTGAAGCTCAGCTCTACATCTTACACTATCTGGTGCAGAGATGGGGAGTAGAGAGGTAGTCGGGAGAATCTTATGCTATGGAAATTCTTCCAGTCTGGATATTCTTTCTTACAAATAATTGTGCAGGAAGGCTTACTGAGATCTGCTGCTTTCCCTCTGAGTAGGAGCACAGTACACTCCTGGCTTATACTTGCTGACACTGGCACGTGCACTTGAGAATGTTCTATGTGGGGGCCAGCATGGTAACTTGCCCTCGCTCAAGCTCTGGTATAAGACAGACACTATCCTGCTGCTGGTGTGCAGAGACACCATTTCCTACAAACTCTTCCCCTGCTTATGCACCACTGCTTCACCAAGCAGATTTTCACTCCTTTATGTGTACATTTAAAACTGACTCCAAATATACTCAGGACACGTGTGGCTGAAATGCACAGTAGAAAAAGTGTAGTGTGGTGCATCACTAATTGAAATTAATGAAGGGGTTCTCAACCTTTTCTATACTGGGACTTCCCCAGCCCACCTCCTCCTCTTGCATTTAGTCAATATCTAGCTGAGATACTTCCTAGCAATCTGGGAAGGGAAGGATGGTCATGAAGTGGGACTACCAAAAAAAGACACAGTCTGAGAATACCTGAACGCTAGTGGATCACTTTTATATATTGTACCACCATTCTACAGTCTAATTGTAGACTGCGTCTTTTCTTTTCAGGACTAATGTATTTATTTACCAGTATAAATTATATAGGCATCAGCCAGCTGCTGAGCCTCTGGAAAGCAAAGTCAGCTTCCTTTTTTTCATAGCCATTTCATTATTCCTGCATCTGACTGTATTGTAGCTCAATCTTGTACACTCCCAGAGGGATTCATTCCATTTCTCATATGATGGGAGGATCCCCAATTTAAACCCATTGCTTCTTCAGTCAAGACGTTATTTCCCTCCTAAAATACAGTTACGTGGTGCTTGTGAGGAATCCATGCAAGAAGAGAAAGTGGAAAATATTTTTTAAAAGAATTCTAAATGTGTTAAATTTGATTGCTATCAATATTTTGTTTAATTATCTTAAGTGCTGCTGCAATAACACTTTGGCCCATTGCTCATCAGCATCAAGTAGCTGGGAGTGTATGTGAGAGAAAAGGATCAGTCAGATTTCTGGCATTTGTGCTATTCCAACAGTGATAACTCAGCAAAACCTGCTGGGATTTTACTCTTTCAACAAGATTTTAATATTCAGAACTGTTGATGGTTACATGCATCCTGCAGTACGTGGGAGTTACTAAGCTGACAGTGAATAAGATAATGTGATATTGTTAGATGTCTTTTAGTGGCTAGATATTTACAGCCCTTATGCAATTAAATCGGATTCTGAGCCCAGATTCACTGGGGGTATTTGTACAGTGCAATTAGACATCTGCGGCTGGCCAGCTGACTCCGGCTCACGAGACTCAGGCTAAGGGACTGTTTAACTGCAGTGTAGACTTCCAGGCTTGGGCTGGAGCCTGGGCTCTAGGACCCTGAGTGGTGGGAGGGTCCCAAATCTCAGGCTGCATTCTGAGCCTGGAAGTTTCCACTGTAATTAAACAGCCCCGGAACCTGAGCCATGGGAGCCCAAGTCAGCTGGCACAGGCCAGCCATGAGTTTTAAATGCAGTGTAGGCATAGCCTGAGAGATTTGTGAATTTGGGACAAGTATTAGGCAACCTTGGGCCATGTCTACACTAAAGAGCTTACAGCAGCACAGCTGTACCGATGCAGCTGCGTCGCTGTAAGATCTCTCATGTAGCCACTCTTATGTAGAGCTCTCTCCCATCAACATAATTAAACCACCCCCAACAAGCGGCAGGAGAAGCTATTCCGCCAACATAGCACTGTGTGCACACTACCACTTATGCCAGTTAAACTTATGTCAGGCTAGGTCTACACTACCCGCCTGAATTGGCGGGTAGAAATCGACCTCTCAGGGATCGATTTATCGCGTCCCGTCGGGACGCGACAATCGATCCCCGAATCGATG